TATATATATATATATATATATATATATATATATATATATAATTTGATTTGCATATGGAGGGATTAATACATCGCAAATTGGAACATCATTGGGATAGACACAGCAATATCGGCTATTAGGAATAGGGACTATACACACAGTTACGAGCCAGGCCCAACCGAATCGGAGAGCCAGTTCGGATCGCTAAAACTGCCGTGGATAGAAGTTATGCACGAATTCGTGTTTAGTTGGATGACTAATGTTTTCGTTTGTATGTAAAGCGTGAAGCCCCTTGTGTTATCATTGTTTGGGGATATTAACAGCTGTTGATATATTTAGCAACGCGTTACTCAGTACACATTCAGAGCATAGAACCCAAATGGATTTGTCATCGGTTACGCAAATTAGTTTTACGGTTACAAAAATCGACTGAAGTTCTAAATACATTGGTAGAGTTTCTCAAATAATTCAATCCTCTATTTGTGTTAACAGGATTGCAAAAGCAAGTTTACTAAAGGACCAGAAAGCACGTTTTCACTCATCTTTGCACAGCATGATGGTATTGTTAAAAATTTAATTACACCAATAAACTCGGAATATTCCAGCTCTATACGTGATCGCTGAAAATACATACACGTATTTTGTTGAATATTTCAGTCCAGCATTCATGCACCCATCCAACACTTACAGTAGCTGGTCGTTGCCGGTTTACAGAGGCTTTTCTTGCTACCAATGATGTTCTTGGAGTGAAAGAACCGGATTGGGTTTCTGTAAAACGAGGAGATCATACATATATCACACTCATAATTGACTACCATGGAAGACGTTGCACTGAGATTGATGGTGATTTTATATAACGGCGATTTGTAACAGTTTTCAGCTCAATTCAGTTCATATATACTTTGACTGTGCATATATATCCGGTATTTTTGGCTGCGACCTTTTGGGTACCCATTTGGATGAAGGAGTAGAGGGAAAGAATAGAGAGCTGGACGTAGTATCAGTGTTAGGATAAAGAACATGGTCAAACTTAGCTTCAATAATTGACTGGATTTGAGAAAATCACTGTTTGCGACAATACGGTATGACACCGGTAGTCGTAAGTATTTAAATTTGACAACAGTAGCCCTAACTCACTCACCAAACTACCTAGTTTTTCATATCATTATGTGATGTGAGAATGCATTGTTTCACCAAACAACTATACCATCCGATTTTACGCTCCTGTCTTCCCAAAGGAAGAGATGAATTAGTTGCTATTGGCATTCAACTTATTGCAAACCCAGTAAATGATTTGTGATCAGTGGGCTGAAATCGCAAAGTGAATGATCGAGTGACATATTATTATTAATTAAATTGATATTAATAATAATCACAAATCAATGGTTCAACCGCTATAATTTCAACAAACGAGTACCGGTTGAGCGCAGTCACTCATCAAAAGAACAGCCAAGGATAGAAATAAGTAAGTTTACACAAATGGATACATCTAATTTGCAACCGTTGGTTAACATTTTCGTCAACGTCTCTTTGCCGTTGATCATCAGTCCGACAGTCTGTTTATCTCTTCTACAATAACAATGGAAAAATCCTTCAATCTACTCGGAGATGCAGTGAAAATTCAACAGTTACCTATTCCTGCGCTAATCAAAATCACTCTTCACAAATGTACCCTACAACACAACCTTTGGCAGGGATGTCACAATAATGCCATTATGTGTTTGTTTGGTTCTTTTCATCCAATTAATTTTCTTGTACCATGTTTTGCCAGATGCACTGTTGCGCTCTAGATCAGTGTATAAATACAATGCACTAAAACGTAGAATACAATGAGAAGCGATCTCGATCAGATCAACAACAACGCATAACACACATCAACCAGACACATTGGGATCTCAAACAGGAAAACAAAACGCGTTTGGGGACGGAAAAGTAACAGATTTGAATCTTCTGGAAGTAACTCAAAATCTCACTAAATTGCAGATCTGCGTTAGAGTAAAAGAAAAAGCTTACCCTGTGCTGTTGCATATGCCGTTTCAAATTCGTATAACTGGAGAAATGTAAGGAGTAAACACAAAACGATCATAGGTGAAACAGAAAGCGATTTTCTATAACATCAGGTCTGATATTGCTTGCAAAAATTCCCAAATGCATAAACAAGCTGGAATGACGTGAAAAATCCGATAAATCCCATGAAAAAGCACCTAACCTTTTGTCTAACCGTTTTCTTGGACCCATATCCGTAAACCTATTTGGTAAGATTTTCATATTGAACTAGAGTCTGATCATTTTGTGAATGTTTAAACATTTTAACCGTAAGGAATTTGCATCGTTGAACCACAGAAACACTGTAAAGTCAATATTCTTTTAAAGTTAAAACCAGTGATGAAAGATGTTGTGGTCCTCGAGAATCCCGAAGGTCTTGCACGGATATTTTTCAACTGTAAATCTATTTTATCTGTGAACCATCTGTCACATTGCTCTAGTTGGTTTATCCTAACAAATAGACGCAGTGCACATGAAAACAAGAATTCCTTAATTGATTAATTGATTGATCTGTGTAACAATCAGTATTTTTGGTCAGATTCATATCCATTTATGGACTCCATCTATCCCTCACACTGTATAGCCTGCAGTCTATCCAGCTCCATGCTAGCTAGCACCGTCCCAAGTCGCAGAAAGAAGGACAACCACTTTTTCCTTGACCACTGCTGAATCGATGGTAGCATTCTCGCCCAATATGTAGCCACAGAGCAGCAATTTTCACAAACAAGAAATTTGTGGGTTTGAGTTTTGTAAACGTCATTAGATGCGGGCGCTACCCCTAGTACGTTCTATTTATGCAGAAGGTAGACAAATCACACTACTGGCAACGAAAGTATTTGGATTAGCAATTACACTTGAATTTTCGAAGATCAGAGTTACCAACACGAAAATTCGAGCGGTTTTGATCAGCTTCTCCAAGGCGCAAATTTATTTTTCTTGTTGTTCAGATCACATGATCCATAATCAACAAATCAAATGCCGAATACATTCGGGAGACAGAATGCGCTAAATTACGGAAGCAGTATCATGGGCATTAAGAACAAACACGAAAGTATACAAAATAAATCAGATGGCGCATTTTAATTGTTTATATACTCTTTATCCCTGTACGAAACAGAAAGAGCACTATTCAGAGGAATTCCCCTATAGGTTACTTTTACCAATATTCGCCTTTAATCAAACCCATATTCGCGCATGATCATCAACAATACCTGGTTCCTCTGAAAAATCGAATGGGCTAATCCAAGTTTGATACTCTAAAATGAATATGATCCATTGTGCGTCATTTTCGACCCTGTACTGCCTATAATATTTAATATAATACCATAACGTATAACTAACTCACTTGTGACATTAGATCATCCACTTTGTGTATTGCAGATTTTTTCAGTTTTCTTTCCTCGCGTAATTGTTTCCGTAATAAATCAACTTCACGAACTGATTTGTCTGCTTCCTGCTTTTTCGATTTGGCACTGGCATCCAGCAATGAGCCCATCTGTTCCAACATTGCATTTTTTTCGGAAATTTCAGCCATCTGATTTATTTCGGGAATTGGAAAACAATTCGGTTTGAAATTTGCTTGGTGAAGAATGCGATACCTCTGTCGTAATATCTAAAAGTTCATCTAGGCTGTCTGAGTTCCTCAATTGATGTTGAGTGCACTACATAAACAATAAAAAGGACACAGAGTTTTCTTGCAATTATATATATATATTATATGTACGTAAGGACGATAGAAATGTTTGGTGTTAGACCTCTTTCAGAAACACTTCCGTCTGTGCGGGTGGACTAAGAAACAAATAACCATCTGGAAGCTAATTCCACGTTTGTACTTAAGTGGCAGACGGATGTCACTGTTGCATGTGGCACTTCGGATAATGTGCCTAAACTCTCTTCGAATACCTCTTGGAACCAGAGACATTAAAAACGAAAAAATAAAGTGCAACAAAGGCTGAAACCAATTTTGTTCACCATAGATCAATTGTGGATGAATTCTTCACTAATTCTTACTACGGTTCGTTTAATAACTTGTGGTCACCTTTAACACCGTGCACTTAACGCGAACAATGTTTCAGCGCACTTGCACCTCACACTCGCCGATTACTAAAATCGAGCCCGGTATCAATGGGCACTGATTCAGTGACGCAGGATGAACGAACCATTGCTTTGCTGCCACTAGCACTTGGCGCATGCATGATTGGTCAGTGCATATACGTGTAGAGTCTGACGTCTTTCGATCATAAGTGATGAATGTGATTGTGTAGGAGAATAAGCAACTCGCTCATGAGTTGGAGCCTAAGTTGTTTCTCTGTCTAATTGGACGTTTGGTTTCATAATCTTTGTATTCGTCCTCTTTCGCAGATTGTCATTTACCATGCTCCATGGAGAACCTTCTGTCCGTCGACAGATGCATCCCACATCGAAACTCGGATTACATTCGTTTGTCTGGAGCATCAGTTCACGGGAAACTTACAGGTGCAAACTGGGGCCTAAACACGTGACAAGCTCCAGAGATACTCTGAAAGTTGCTTGGGTTAAGTAAGGTACAGAAGGTGAGCTAACCCACACAAAGATTATGCAACTTTCTGTACAAAATTTCAAACATTTCCCCCTTTTTATAATACCTCGATGCTGTTGTCACTATAAACGGGTTCGTATGTAACGCGTATTTCCCAAAGGTAAATAGCGGTATATACATATACTTGTATGAAACAGCTGTTATCTGAAACGCTGTCATTCAAACATTGCTTGTAGCATAAATAGAATCAATGAAGTGACTTACTAGTTGATCGATATGCATTTGTTTGACCATTGCCATCTGCTTATCTGTTGCCGCTTTCCTCTCAGCCGCATGCTTTTTCTCAACTTTGTCATTCATCTACATTGAAGATATTAAGAACGCTGATAAGAATAGAAACCCGTTGTGTGCAAATTATAACAAACGAACCAGTAAAAGTGCTATTAGTTGTTAGTGACTGTATGAACAGACAGCTCAAACGTTTCGCACCTTTAATTAAATATAATAATAGATTAGTTATCAGAAATTGGGAATTTACTTGAGTGGATCGATTTATTTGGCATTTATTCATTTCAAATGGATAGTTTCAGTTTCAATCTGTAAAAACATTAACCTTGCACTTCCGTGCACCGGTTTCGGTTGATGCCTTTGGTTACCCATTCGGATGAAGCAGTAGGAGAGATACAGAAAGATTCAAATGTTCAAAATACTGAGAACTCTAGTCAACCATAGCTGGAAAGAAACTTAGACGACGCACAAACGGCACAGTTTACGACACTTAGGCATATCACTCAGTGTATCTAACTAAACATCAGGGTTCCCAAAGAAAGACCCATTCGCCGGTGAGGGCCACGCGAAGTATGTTGTACCCTAAATTCTTTGACAAACATTTGGAAAACCATGATTCCCATCTGTCGCGTTCTTATCAACCCAAATAATCCCAGGTGCCTCCTGTTTACGAGACCCATCGGACATCACTCAGGGTTCAACTATTCAGAGGTTATCAGGTTTTAAAACGAAAATCCCCTTTCCACTTAGGTGCACTCAATGTCCGCACATTCTATCAGATCGGTCAACAATCCGCCTTGGTTATAACCCTCAAAACTTTCGAAGAAGATGTGTGCTTTCTCTCCGAAACACGCACACAAGATCCTACTTCCATTATTTCCCTGCGTTCTCCTAAACTAACCTCAACCTCACACTTCACTCTTTTTGCGTCAGGCGATTCGGTATTCAAAACTGGCGACGTTGCTGGCGTTGAGATTGCGCTTAGTGCCAAGGCTGAGCGATCGTTTCTTGACTGGATTCCAGTCAGTAGCCGATTGTGTGCTGTACGTCTCAACAGTTCAGCACGGGTCAACAGCTAAAGAACGAACCGTCGATGCTTAGTTGTCGTATCGGTGTATGCACCGTCCGATTGCAGTATACCTGAAATCAATGATGAATTCTCAATTACTCTAAAGTTTTCGATCAACTGACGTCTTATTGGAAGTCGCCGGGGAATTAAATGCTCAAGTGGGATCCCTTGATAAATCAGAAAGGTGTCTTGGCGGACCACATGCAATCCCAGCTAACTTGACTGACAACTTCCATTGTCTACTTAAACTCTGTGCGGACCACGGATTGTTCTTTTCGAACACCAACTTCTCATACAAGAAACGACACCGCTTTACATGGAAACCACCAACCCTTTCATAGCGCTGAACCCAAATCGACCACATCGCCATTAGTAACCGTTGAAAAGGGTCAATTCAAGACTGTTGTTCCTACCACTCAACAAATGTGGATACGGACCACCCTTTGCTACTAGCCAAATTCTCCCTACACATGGTAAACAACCAAAATAAATCCACGTTTACCCACTACACAATGCCGGTGGTTGTTGCGTATCGGTATTCGAAGAGGAACTGTTCGATCGCTTTTTAGTTTGACCACCAGCTGGAGGACTGAATCAACACTAGAATTCAATTAAGGAAGCTATGCAAATATCGACAAAAACGGTGTCAAACCCTGGAGCAGGTTCAAAGTACAATGGGTGTACTCATTGACCTCGGCTGCCATGTTGGACACCAGCAGAACCCTCCGTGTATGTGCCACATATGACACAGCTCCCAAAGCCCTCAAACACCGGCTCATCAAGAGTCTGAGGAATGATCGCGAGAAGTGGTAGGTAGAAAAGTGTAGAGTAATAGAGACAGCTACCGCTAATGGTAATAGTCGCAATCTTTTCCGTCAAATGCGGAATACGGGCCCCAAGAAAACAGCTATACAAGAGGAGATCAAGAGATCCGGTGGCACACTCATACACGATCAGTAACGCCGTCTTGATCAATGGGCTGAAAAGTTCGAAGCTCTGTTCAACTGGCCCCCTTGGACATCTGAAATATCTTTCTCCACCTCGACTGGGCAAATATTCCTTGTTGATACTATTCCTCCATCTGAAATGGACGTTTCTCGGGAAATAAGCTACCTCAAAATGCATAAGGCCTCCGACCCAGATGTCCTGTCCCCATCGGCGTTTAAGGATGGACGGTGAGCGTTAGTCTTGGAGTCGACGAAACTCCTGGTATTAGTATGGTAAAGGAAAGAGATTCCAAATGAATGATGTGAATAGGTGATCATACCGATTCACAAAAAGGTTGACAGGTCCTCTTGTGAATATCACAGAGGAACTGGTTTATTCAACATCATCTCTAAACTTTTCACTGGTATTGTACTCCATTGATTCATTGCCGCAAGTGAATGGTGCACGCGAGAGAACCTGGCTGATTTTAGACCTAGTCAGGTTTGTATCGACCACATATTCACTCTTCGATATTTAAACTACGCAAGTGATATCACCACTTCTTTTTCCTTATATGAACAATCGGAACTGGTTGCGTTCATCACAAAATCATCCCACCTCGTAACGGATTCCACGTCATTTTTTCTTAATCTTAATTATAAAAATGCCTTCGGTGTATTTGTGCTTTAAACCGTTTCTTATTTCCCTCTGACTGTGCACAGATTAATGGAGAGCCAATGAGGAAGAGCAACCATGTGGAGTACTTAGTGTCCACTCTTGAAAGTAATCTTTGACGGTCTTAACGTAACCAAACTGTTGCTCTTAAGCTAAAAGGTCTCTCCTTTTCAATAAGAACATTGCGCCACTACTGTTCTAATCAGTCTGGAATAGAAGAGTTTTTCCAACAGAGTCCTTTCCCCTTTGACACTCCCCTATGATTTTCCCAGGTTTTCTTGAATGCTGACTTCAAGCTGCTGAGGCACTTCNCACTTCCTCACAACAATCAGCCTTATTTCCCGAATTCTGGTACGTGGTCTGATAAACCACGTCTGTAGTGGGTATATTGATGCGTGCTGGACGTTTGCTGACAAAATTCCAGCTGATAACATTTCCCTTTAAATATGAACTTGAGTGCATGCGAATCTCCCCTCCACCTATTTCATCTAAAAGACCATCCTATATAGGATATCTGTCTACAGAAACTCTATTGCAATATATCTTGTCCGGATACCGACTGACAAATAGAGTGTTTGTTCTTAGCTATCTAAAGAAGTTATCAGGACCAAATGATGTTAAGACTGCATCGAAAAATCGATGCGTCATGTGTTGTTTTATTGTGAATGTTATCTCGATAGTAACACAGCGATGTCGGTGGAGAATTATATTCGCCGACGTCTCGATTACTGAGGGTAACCTTTCTCGCGGTTTCTTTTTTGATTGTGAAACCTGCCTCAATAATGTACCAGGATGATTTAAGACAAGAAAATGAAAACCGACAGAGAAAAATATCATTCTCTACTGACCTCTTTGTCTAGAGCTTTGCGCATATCGTTCAAATGCTTCTCCGTGTTCGACAGGTGATCACGTAATTTGGACATCTCCTCGTTGAGCATACGGACGCGTTGTTCAGACAACAAACCCAATCGGGTCACTTGTGTTTTGCTCTGATTGCGTTGTTCCTCTACACCGCTAATCTGCAAGCGCACACGGAAAAATATTGACCAGCAAGCAACAATGCAACATGGGAGAAATGGCAGATTCGATTCAAATGTCTATCGAATTTCGTCGTTTACAGGGCAAATAAACCGTGAACTGAAGAACTGGGAAGCACTGGCCAGTTGTTTCGGCTTGCTCGGATCTCATCAGCAGTGCGAATCCTTCGGCCCAACTGAGGAGCGATCCCACAGGCGGTCTCACAGTTAGAATGCTACCCTCTAGACCAGCGAATAGGTAGATTCGCACTACCGATCAGATCCACTCAGGTCAAAAAAGTTGAGCAGCTGATTCTTGGCATTTCAGTTCTCTTTTTCTGTGTACGACGAGAATTTGTCATATAACTGCGATGTCTTACCTGTTTCTCAAATGCACAACGCAGTGTGGTGTGTTGCCAGTGTGCCATCACACGAAGTCGAGTCATCATCTGTTGGAGTCGGATATTTCGCTGATGTAGTGAGTTGACCTCACGTGACAGTCTCAAATTACGTTCGGCCAAATCATCTTCTGGATAAAAAACAGTGAAAATTAGTGTTCGACAGGAAATTGTCACTTGCACCTCAATACGGGGTGACTGATTTTCAGTGAAACAGCAAACCACAGTTACTTATGCGGTGCTTGCAAAAATGAAGAACTGAGTGAACTGTAGAGAATGAAAATTCCTAAAACGGCATCAATAATGGCCATGACCTGTTTCCATTCACTGCACAGAACGCTTAACAATTATGTAAGCCAGCAGCGTACATGTATATTCCAAAGCAATGGCCGATTCCTGAGGTTTCGGCCAATTCCAAACATTGGAAATTCGTATACCCTTTAGATCGGCCATTTGAATAGGCAAAAGGAATGAGCGTTTATAAACAATTCGGTACACAGTGTTTATAAGTCCGCGTCATCCACGGAGCAAGGTAACCATATACATTTGGATGACCAAATTAGTTCAGGAAACTACGTTGTCTTAGCCACGACGAACAAAAAAATCAACAAACATAAGGCGTTGGTGAAATTGGTTCGACGTGTGAATTGGTCGTTTGATATTGTGAGTGTGGACGAGAGTATTGTGCATGCACAAGTGTCAATTGTTGTCATAACTGTGGGATGACTGTTCCATCAGATCGATTGATTGCCGTGGGTTCAGCGTTGATCAAGAGCGTTTCGGTTACCAAACGTTCCTTGTGATTTCTGAACACATGCTCTAGAATATGCTGGTTTTTGAAATCAACCGCCATGCGTATTGCTGGTCAGTGATTGTGGAATTGTGTTCCAATAGATTCCAAACTGCTGCATCATTTGGAACCTTCTTCGTTAGACGTATGTGCTCGGTCATTTATTTGTCTAGGATTTCGGAAGTCTGGCCGACGTAGGTTACAGGATAGTCTAGATAACGTATTCTATGGTCTACGTCAGAAGTGTCTACTTTTGTACGCGGGTTTTTGGAAGTAACCAGTTTAGAGCAACTTGTATCAGTGTTTTTAAGCACAACCCACATGTTGACATGGTTTAGTATCCGTCTTATGCCTTTGGATATGCTTCAACGATATGGAATCACAAAAGTAGACAACCAATCGTTTTTCGCATGGCTAAGTTAAGACCTAGCATAAGGGTATGAAAACCCTAGCCACTAATCTGGGTCACATAAGTCCCGTTAGGCCCCCTGGCTGAGGACCTCAGGATGATCATAACCGATGATTAGAGAAACTCAGTGATATGGCTGAGTGTCGTAAACAGTGGCGTTCGTACATCTCAATTTCCTAACAACATTAATCCACTGAAATTCTAAATTTTCTTATTGATCACACTTTTACTCTTTCCTGTTTTTCTCCTACTGTTCATTCAAATGAGCAGCCAAAGGACGCCGACCAAAACCGGTACACGGTAGTGCAGCTTAATGGTTGTATAAACTGAACTGAACTGATCTGATGATAACATGTGATCTAAGCCCTGACACTTGGAATAGCGAGCCACA